ATGATGATGATGATGATGATGATGATGATGATGATGATGATGATGATGATGATGATGATGAAATAAACATATTTAAAGGTACATGTGTTATGATGAGAAAGAAGGGAACCGTGACCTATTCTCACGCCTTCTTCTACTCCTCAAACTTGACAGCTTCTGCTTTCTTTGCCTTTAGTAATTTCCTACATGATCACAAAGCAAATGTGTGCAGGGCTAACATGGTGATGAGCCGAGCATGTAATGCAGACCTGGCCATAATCTACCCACCTCATTCACCTGAGCTGTGTGTGTGTGTGTCTTAGTCAGCGGGCTGAGGTGAACCTGCAGTTATGAAGCTTGGTGTTTGTGTCGATTTTATACTGCAAATGTGTGTAAACGTGAAGGGGAGGGAGGTATGTCCAGGACCAGTTAGACCTTGGGGAGATGTAACAGCCTCTGTGGTGCCTCTGTCTGAACCGATCAGGAACTCTTATGCTTTATCACCTCCACTTTCCAAGCCCAAGGCCACCAGCACCCACAGAGTTATTGCACCTTTTCTAGGCAAGCTTGCACATATGGGTGTACATGTGCAGATACACTGCCCAGAAAATGCACTCAGCAAAGAGCATACAGAGGAATTTACTCTCTCCTGAACTCACTGTTTGCAGTGTTCTGCTTGTGTCAGTGTGGGGAAATTTTGTATTTGCACTGCAGCTGGGGAGTTGCAAAATCAGCTATGTTTTCATTTTGCTTGTGGTTTTGATACATCAGTGCTTGATATTCTGTTTTGACCTTTTGCCATTAAAGCCTGCATTAGAAGAGAGCTCATCGTACTGTTAGAGGCCAGGCCCAATGTGAGGGCTCGTTCTCTGTATGGGACAGGAGGTTTCATGGGAGCAATTGCTCACACAGGTTCCGATAATAGCTCTGTGGGCCTCTGATCAATGGCCCCCTCACTCAGCAATTATAGTATTAAGCACCAGTTACACCCTTTCTAACTGAACCCTCCGTCAACCATGGTCTCACACACACACACTCTTACAAGAAGCTACACAAATGGATGTGCACACGTACTGAGGAGAACATGTCATATTCAACATCCATGCATAAGTTAAGAAATGTGCAAAAAGTTCACTGAACTTAATTATAATCTGCCCGGTGGAATTTAAAATAGCAGAAAATGGAAAATGATACAAGAAAATCGAAGAACCAGAATGATTTTGGCAAAGAAACCGGCAGAAATACATCAAATAAGTGTGGACAGACACTTCTGAGATTAGATATGTTTTTCCAAGCTCTCCATAAGGTGTTTTTATCAAGATATTTTCAAGTTTAAAAGTTAGCTTTTACTCACTTATATCTACTGTAATAGTAACTGGAATGATAACTTTGACCGCACATGTGCTTATTTTGATATAAAGTATACGGTACAATGATAGTTTATATAATGTCATGTTATGTAAAGCCTTAGAAAGTAAACGCCAGGAGTGGTGGATGGCTCCAAGTCCTTGACCTTAACGCAAGGGATCACTAGTTTAAATCACTTCTTTAAAAGCTTTTCCTCAGGCCATTGCTCTTTACTCCAGTAATTTACCTGCTTTTTTACTTTCCTCCCACGCAGTAATTGTTATGGTTCAGTGTGAAAAGCGCATCGTTAAGATTTAAAATTATATAGATGGTAAAGTTTACATGTTTAAGTACATTAAGGCGATTGAAAAATCCATTAGCCACAGACTATGAGGATGTATTTTCATCTGTGACTTTTTGCCATAAAGCTATAAAACAATGGCTTAAAAAATCATTGTGATCTTACAGTTTTGAAGACTGGATAGTGAAACTACAACATATTTGAGATGATGCTCGTCATTAAAGGCCATGTACTTTTGACTGGAGTATGGTGTTTCTTGACGAGATGCCGTTAACCTTTTGCTGAGTTAGTGGTTTAGTCTAATTTGGTTTACTGTCACAGTAAGAGCATGGGAACAGGAGGGAAACAGGAGGCAATGGGACATCTATGTGCATGTGACAAGGCTGTCTGAAACACCTGCCGGAAGCTCTAAACAACACCTCTGGGATGAAAACATTTAGTCAGACTGCTCTGGGTGGCTTCTAATTACTAAGGCAACAGTCTTTTGATGAATAAGGGCTTCAGTGAGGAGTAGATGGGCAGAGTTATGCGGAGAAAAATGAAATAAACACAAAAAGAGAAAGGAAAAAATCAGAAATACTAGTTAAACCCTAAAGACCTAATGCTCTAACCCCTCTTTGTCTCTTAAGCACCAGGCATTTAATGTTCAGAGGCATTTTTCTCTGGTAATTTAGGCTGCCTTGCTGTTACCTAAAGCGATTCTAGACTCACTGTCATGTTTTGATCAGGCCTCTGGGGGCTGTACCATCTGTCACAGAGGAGCATATTGACTGGAGACATTGTAATCCAGGGGCTTATTTATAAAACTTTGTGTAGGATCTACACTAAAAGTATTTTTACAAAAGCCGAAAATGGCGGACGCCAAAACAACAACAACAACAAAAACTGATTTATAAAACCACGCGGATGCACACGAACGCACACAAAATTTTTCCTTTATAAATCTCATCTGCACCTCAACGTTTACTATAAGGTTCCAACCTCTACATGCTCACATACAACCGTAAATGGTCAAGGAGGAGCACCTCAGGAATGTCAATTTGGATTTAAATCAGCAAGCTGATCAATGTTATTTCATACCAATTGCAACCACAGAGAAAAGAGCAAAGACACACAATTTCACTGGGGTTGAAATCAATATGTTGGTGAGTCAGGTGGAGAGTCAAAAAAGGCCTTTAGTTGCCAAAGTTGTGCCGTGGGAAATAAAAAGACGTCTTGTTAGGGGAGACTTGATACT